CAATGTACTATCACGTACAATTAAAATCCACTAGCATGTGCAATTGTAATGTCCACATCAGCAAGACACATAAGCATTTTGTTGTCCACATCATCATACTACTCAATCCACTAATCCGCAATTCTTGTAGCAACACGCGGGGTATGCTTCTAGTTTATTATACGTGACAGCGACCCTGTGATTACTGGAAGAGGGAAAGTAGAACATTTGCAATGCTTTCATGCAGAGGTGATTGCTTGTCTCCAAGGATTGCAGACTGCCATAAGTCTGGGAATCGGGCACCTGATTCAGGAGGTGGTGCAAGGCATCAAAACCGACAACTTAGATATAGTCGCTGGTCATCTATTAGCATAGAGCAAGTCTTTGGTGAGATTGAACTTGCTTAGCTTTGAGTGTGTTTTTAGAGGAACCGGTAATCGTGTTGCTCATGAGTTGGCTAGATTGGGGTTGTTTCTTTGTAATCAGGGGGAAGAGATTATGTCTAGTGTACTCCCCGATGGCATTGGTATAATGGTTGCTAACGATTTGTTTGCAGTTGAGTAATGAAAATTCACTCAGTTTCAAAAAAAAGTACTCAAGTGAGCTTCCCATTCTCTCTCGCCTCGAACATTGAAAGGACTCGAGGATGTTGCCTAGAGGGGAGGGAGGGGGGAATAGGCATTTCTAAAAATTTAGAACTTAAAATGTGGAAACCGTTACAATGGGACTTCCAATTGCTTGAAAATCCCAAATAAGAGTAAACCCACCCCTCAAAATATAATACACTAAGTATACAAAGATTATCAAACAATCCTGGAAGCAAACACTTGCAACACAATTGATTAGAACTGAGAAAAACAAATTACAGCACAGGGGTGCAAACCGGACTGGTCCAGTGTGCCTACTGGACCGGTCCAGTATACACTGGCACAACAAGTCCTTGCTGAAACTTGTTGTCTTCCAATTTAAAATTTCACTACATAGTTGCAGAGACCTACTAAGGAGTTATGAATACAAAATACACCTGCACAAACACTCACAACCCAAGTAGATCGAGGGAAAAACAAATATCATTACAAAATACGATTGAGACACGATATTTGTTTTATCGAAGTTCGGACTTCCTCAAGTCCTACTCTCCATTGAGAAGGCAACGAGTGACCACTCCGGGATCCACTCTAGCTGCAGTCTCTTTCAACCGCTTCCCTCAATCCACTAGTTTGATTCCTTCCCTTGAGGAGGCGGAATCGAAGCCTTCACAAACTTGCCGAGGTACACTACAATCCTTGGTTGCTCTGCGGAGAGTCCTAGCCGTCTAGGAGCAAGCTCCAACAGTAACAAATGTGAATCACGATATCGAAGAAAGTCTCAAGTGCTCAAGACTTGGCATTGTTCTCTTTTGCTCTCCTTTTGAATTTCACTCAAACCCACCAAATGAACTCAACCCTAGGGATTAATTCTCACAAAGAAAAGTGTGGGGAGTGTCTCAAATGCTCTAAAATGTATATGGGAATCATCAAAATCAGCAGCATCCAAAGGTGAGGTTTGGGGTAATAAACACCCATCTCTTTCGCATCTAGCCATTAGTAGCCATTGGGTCTTGGCTGACACATACCGGACTGGTCACGGACTGGTCCGCTATGAACAACCAGCCCAAAACGACATAGGATCCTCTACTGGAAATTTCAGAGATCTAACCTGGAAATTCCAGACCGGGCCATTGGGTCTTGGCTGACACATACCGGACTGGTCACGGACTGGTCCGCTATGAACAACCAGCCCAAAACGACATAGGATCCTCTACTGGAAATTTCAGAGACCTAACCTGGAAATTCCAGACCGGTCCGGTATCACCAGACTCAGCCCCACTTTTGTTAGTCCCCGTGGCACTCCCTCTCAAACGTCTCATGGTTGACTTGAGCACTTTTAGACAATCAACTATCTTCATGTTGCATCCCTCTTAATATTACGGCATGCCTATTAACTGAAGATTAAATAAAAATGAAATTAAACCGCTTGAGTTAACCTTGTTTTGATTCAATGCCATATCTTTCAATATTCAACAATATAGAATGCCAACATGTCCATTTTAATTATTGCTTGAGCATAGCCATCTTGAGCACAGCCAAAATAAAAGTTGTAGATCTCGAAATGTTATAGAACTTTGTTGTTTACAACTTTTTCAATTGAAATCATTTACTGTTTGAAAATGCTTTTAGAGATTCAATTTTTAAATTATTGAAAAACTCTGATTTCTCTTTTTAATCTCTGGCTAAAACTTACAACTAGTCTTTCTCCCTCGTACCAACTTCAAATTTGATGATTTTTTCTAAAATTTTCTAAAATCATGCTCTATCAATTTATTGTGTTCTTACACCTATTATTTTGGTCATCTTTTCGTGTGACTGTGTTTTATCAATTTGAAATTTGAATTTTAAAAAATGACAACTTCAAACGTTATTTTGAAATATTAAATGATTTTAGCTGAACATAAAAGTTATAGAATTGGTCAAGATCTACAACTTTTATTTTAGTCATTTGTTCATTCGACAAAATTGTAGTAACATTGCTCACAAATCTTACATATGTCTCATATAGTTTCATAAACTATAAGAAGGATACGTAAGATTTTTGAACAATGTTACTACCACTATGTCGGATGAACAAATGACCAAAATAAAAGTTGTAGATCTCAAAAAGTTATAGAACTTTGTAGTTCACAACTTTTTCATTTGAATTCATTTTATCAAGGAAAACTACGTTTGAATTTCTTCAATTTAAAATTTAATTTATCAAATGACCTCGGATGGAGAAACAACCTAAATGAAAGTTGTAGATCTCGAGAAGATATACAACTTTGTAGTTGACAATTTTTTGATTTGAAATCATCTTGTCAAAGAAAACTATATTTGAATTTTCAAAATTTAAAATTTCAATTTTTTAAACGACCTTGGATGGAGAAACAACAAAAACAAAAGTTGTAGATCTCGAAAAGTTATACAACTTTATAGTTGATAACCTTTTTATTTGAAATCATCTTGTCAAGAAAAACCACGTTTGAATTTCTCAATTTTGAAATTCGAATTTTTTAAATGACCTCGGATGGATAAATAGCAAAAACAAAAGTTATAGATCTTCAAAAGTTATATAACTTTATAGTTGACAACTTTTTGCATTCATTTAGGGTCTCAAACACTAAATTTAAACTCGGTTGAGGATAATACGAGAGAAAAAAAGTTTAATATAGACACAAGTGAGTGTGATAGTGGTTAGAGAAGTACCACGCGAGGGAGAGGTCGTGGGTTCAAATCCCACTGGCCACGGGAAAAATTGCCGTGACTTGCACGTGGGGCAGGGCCAGCTGCGCCACATCCTCGACCTCAGCACGTTGCTTTATGGCCCACGCTTGTTGCTCCCCTTCTTTGTGGGGCTCCTAGCCGCCGTCGAGATGCTCCGCGTCCTGTTTTTCTGCGGCGCCATGCTGCCTCTGCGCCGCCATGTCATGTCATGCCTCGCGTATCTGCTCATCACCCGTTGCATCACCGAGTCTGGGCCACCCAGATTAAAAAAAAGTTTTTTTTTTTCGATTTCGTGATTTGTGGAAAAGGGATTTGTAGGGACATTATTTTTTTGGTCGGATTTCATGATTTCTGAAATCCAGCCGCTCCTACAAATCAATAGCCACCCCTATAAATCAGATTTGTAGATGACTGGCCAACCGCCCCTACAAATCAGCCATTTGTAGCAATGGTTTGGTAGGGACGGCTGGCCAAACCATTGCTGAAAATTGTCTTAAGCCGCCCCAAAAAATCTTGGGTGGCGTAGTGCTTCTCGTATCGTACTTAATTTTTCATTTAATGCTACTCCCTCTGTTCTAAATTATATGTCACTTTGACTTTTTTGTTCATCCATATTGCTATTTATCTGGACATAATATTATATCTAGATGCATAGTAAAATGAATGTACCAAAAAAGTCAAAGCGACATATAACTTTGAAACGGAGGGAGTGTTTAATAAGTGCAGAAGTCAAAGTGGGTTGTATCTAAGTTGTTATTCGCCCATTTTAAGTTTGGATTTTTTTGAAACATATTTTAATTGATATATTTTTTTATAAAAAACATATTTTTAATTAAAACCAACCTACCAGCCAAACAATCTTTTATAGTGATTCTAATTCATCATCTGAGATATTTTTTGAGAGAATCTCGATCCAAAATATTTCTATGAGAACCCGGATCCCTACCGGACACACCCTTAAAACATAATGTGTCCAACGACAATATTGGATCTGATTCGAAGACATATCAGAATAAACAACACAAAATATTTTCTAAGAGAATTTGTATCCAAAATTTTTACGAGAATCTAGATCTCCACCAAACACAGCCTTATAACAAAATATTTCCAACGTCAATATCGAGTCTGATCCAAGACGTATTAGAATAAACAAAACGATCATTGAATAAATATCTGGAAACTACAAATCATCCAGATGACTGCATAACAAGCTGTACGTTCTGTTGCAACGGACAAGTTTGCTAGTAACTTTAATATGTGAGCTACCAAATTGGTCCAAAACTCCTTCCTCCAAATAAATGCGGTATCATTGTATATTTTATGGTGAATTTAACGAAATTAATTTGCCAGTGCACATGTTGATGTATTCTACTATAAATTAGTCAAACTTAGAGAAAATCTAGACGTGCATGGTAGAAAGATATATATAGTCGTACTACATTTGAGTTCACTGAACCAGAAAAATATATATCTCCTTTTTCTTGGAATAAAAAGCTTAAATATTTCTTATTGATAATTAAAATTTAAAATATAGCTCCACAAAAATACAATCATTAATGGTACAGGGAAAGAATTTGTAACAAACCTATTTGATAATTAAAATTTAAAATATAATTAGCTCCAGAAAAATACAATCATGAATCGTAAGATTGAACACAAGGGGTACGTTCCATGGATGCGGGCATTAGCTCCATCCATCAGCTCATCAGCTTAATTAATTAGTTAGGGGCAAGTGAAGTCCATCGGGCAAGTCTTGCCGCAGTTGTTGAGGATGAGCTCCAGGCTAACGGGCACGCTTAGGTTGACGATGTTGAGGACGTTGGCCTTGATGGCAGTGCAGAGGCACAATGCCGCGTCGAGGTCCACCAGCCCCTCAAGCAGCGGGCAGCATTGCGGGTGCGGGGGCAAGCCGACCTTGATGAGGTCCAGCACGTTGGCGCACACGCTGAGCTTGAGCGTGTCGCAGCGCCCAGACTGGCTGTGCGACGGAGGCGGCGGGGTCGGGACAACTGGGCTGGAGCAATAGGGTTCACAGCCGTGCGCGGCAGCAGCCAGGAGGAGGACAAGGGCAAGGAAGAGAGCAACCTTGGGAGGCATTGGTGATGGATTATTACTACTACGGTGTGAGCAGGAAGTGGTGCTTTAGTGCTGCACTTCGTGCTCTTGTGCTTTGGGATGGTCTTTCTCATGCTGGTTGGCAGGGTTTTTATAGCTGAACGATGGTGTGGAAGGAGATGCTTTAGTGATTGGCTTCGTGCATCATGCATTGGATAATCTGCAACACATGTTTGATTTGAGCGTTGCCTGGTTGTCCTGGGATGCGCCAGTTATGACGGAGAGATAGGACAACATCGTCCGGCATGTGGCCATATCGATCGAGATACAGGAAGCAAGTTGAGAAATCATACCAAATACACTCAACGTGCTAGCTACTAGTGATGCATGAATTAGGAGGACTCTTATGCTATATATAAAAAGATTAATGCAGAAATACAATAGTGCTAGCTGGAATCATTATTTCAAGCTGCCAAGTTTATTATTTTAACGAAACTGATGTGCTCGCCTTATTTTGTATTCTGTGATCAGCGGCAGAAATCATTCCAAAACATGTGCACGGACTTCCTCACGAATCACGATTATTCCAAAACATATGCAAGCATGACAATACAACATAAAATTGAATCAGCTAATCTCTGTTGATGAACTCCACGCCAACGAACGAGTTGCCCCAACCCTGGCTTCCAGCTCGTTGCATCTAGCAGCTGCGATCGGTTGGTTGCAACATGCATGCAACTCCGATCCACCATGATTCGCTTGATCAATTTTTCTAACCTTGCTTTGATCTCGCTAACTAACAAATCAAAATTCGGAACAAGACAATTGCATCGGTGATGACATGAAACGCTGTTTTGAACACAAGAAGCATGATTCCGGCTTTGATATTTATTATTACATCATCATTACACGTGCTGCCGCGTCGGGTAAACATGGGCGCGTCGCGCTCTCCAGGAATTGAGCTCGAATAATACTAGTAGAATTGCAATAGCTATAGTATATCTGTCCAAGTCTCCAAGATAGATGAACAATATTGTAAGGTCACTACAAGCAAGCTATTAGCAGACAAATGTACCTCCACTGCTCCAGCCCTGCCTGCGGTATCGTCATATGTATTCTCCTTTACTTGCTCGTCAGTTCATTGCTTCATTCAGTCTTCATTTTCAATAGCTGGTTCTAGATAAATGAAGTAGGCGTTGCAGACTCTGGGTTGACAACAACATGGCTTTTGTTATGTTAGCAGTTAGCACCTAAATGGCACCTATGTACTCTTCTCCTTTTTAAGTAGTATTTAATTATTTTTCAAAGTTGCTGACACTGATTCAGGTAACACACTACCGCACACGACCTAAGTACGCAGCGGAGGAAGATCCTAAAGCTGAGACCGACCAATAGGTCAACGAGGCTGATTGGACGCTCGTTCTTTATCAGCATAAACCCACAAACACCTCCGGGCAAGCTTGTCAGGGAGAAGCACTACGGGGTTGTTATAGGCTCGGCAAGGCCACCTAGAACGCCAACAAATCTCGTTGAGAGAGACGCTGGACATCAGGGGTAGGTAGAGATAGGGTTTAAGAATAAAAAGTAAGGTAGATTGATTTTGATCGATGGTGTATTGGATACCTCAATTGGTTATGATCCTCCAGTATATATAGAGGGAGGGTCTTCTTATCCAACTAGGAAAGCTTTCCAAAATCACTCTTCAAGTTTCCCACAAGATCTAATAAGTTTGGACTGGATCTAGGAACAACTTGATTCGTACATGTCACGTCAGAAGTTTTGACAATCTTTAGAAGTTAAGACAATCCCGGTACTTCGCCAAACATTAGTACTTTTGGAACTCGACTCCCAAGACCTAGGAACAACGAAAGTTCAAACAAACATCAGTTCTTCCTATGTCGGCAGGTGGCTGACCGATGAGAGCCTCCCTGGATTAAAAATTTTCTTTGCTACATTTTTGGCCCGATTTCATGATTTCTGGAAAACAGATTTGTGGGGACGGCTCTATATCCAAATTACCTACAAATCAGCAGTCGCCCCTACAAATCGGGGTGGCTGGCCAACCGTGTAGCACCTGGTTTTAAGAATAAAATCAGATACACACCATATGTGAACCTAGAAAGTCAAATATCACATATAACTACAAATAAAGGTAATATCAATATACAATGCTCAATATATAACATACTTAGTATAAAGAATATAACCTTAGATAGCAAATAGCAGAAAGATAACTCTGATATTTGGGTGAAGACTCCAATTTCATAGGAACAATTGACTGTTTGATCACAAGCCTAATTCCTTCAAACTCTAAATTTGCGGGATTTTTATCCAAATAATTGAAAAATAAAGCAAGCGTAAGTACATGTCATACTCAACAAATATAACATGGGGCTCATGAGGCTCGAAAGGCTGACACTGGTTTAACTGCGATTAGCTTTTAATGAGTCATAGTTTTAGCAATAGGGTGGCAACAAGTTTATCCACAAGCCCACATAAACACATGATCAGGTAAACATGAATATTGAATAGCATAAATAGTAATCATTAGTGAGCATCTTCATCATCCGTATCATCAGTGTTCATTATCTATTCCGTAAGGGTTTCAAGGCCGCTCGTGACCGTGAGCACCGCTGATATACCAGTTTTACACTCTGCAGAGGTTGTACACTTTCACTGTGAGTCAAATTTACCCTTTCGCCCGAGGTAGCTAGCCTCTTGACCCACAACCTAGGAAGGTTGGCAGGATTCACTATGAAGCCTTTCAAATGTTCGTCTAACAAGTTAGAGCCACTAAGGTTTCTCCATCAATAAGCATGAACCCCCCTCCAAGGAGTGACTAACAAAATACCAAGAAACCAAAGTGCACCCTTTTGGTAGGCCGTTATCTACCTATCGGAGCCCCTCTTGTGCCATAAATGTAACCACTAACAAGCTAGAAAAGGTCCTCATACTGAGCTAAAGCCAGAGCCATGTATCCCTCACAGCTGTACTGTAAGTCCCAGATGATCACTTACAAATAAGTCCTTAGGGAGAGGAATCTAGAGCACCTTAAAAATAGCCCAATGCTCTAGCCCCCTGAGTCCATGTTGCTAAAAAGCATCTTTTAGTGTTTGTTGCATATACCATTAGTCAAGTTACATGATCATGGTTTTGGTTGAGCACTAGCAAAGTTACCCAATGCAATAACCCAAAGGTGTCAAGGAATCTAGGATATCAATTAGCTAGGAAAATTACTACGGTTGCCAAGGTAGACACATATAGCATAAATTAAATGATTAAAGGTGTATAGGACAATAAGGAAGATCACATGCTATACTTGCCTTAAACTTAGATCCTTCTTCTATTGATTCATAGCCTCCAAACAACTGCTTCTTGATCACCACGTAAAACTCACCGACTGGACAAGATCATTAAACACCACACAAGAATCTGAACAAGCATGCATAACATTCAGACATAACTATATTAGAACAATACATCAATCAGTGAAAAAGAATTTGAAATCAAATCTATGTGTTGCTACGATCACACAGACGCGAAAAGCACGCTAATCGGAGCTACGGTGAACAAGATACATCTACCAATAGATTTATGTTTATTCGAGAATAAGGAAAACTACAAACTCCATTTATTTTAATTATAAAACATATATAAGATACTCCAAAGAATTATCTAAATTGTATCAAGTCAAATTTAGATTTAGATCTGAAAATCAAAGTAGAATAAATCATATTTTCTATATAAATCTAGTTGCATAGTTATTAATCAAGTTAAAATACGCTTTTAAATACGCTTTTTGAATCATATTTTCCTCCAAACGTATTTTGAATCTAAACTGAAAGAAAATACACTTTTAAATAAAGAAGACGTATTTGGTAAACGCGCTTTGGACTATGGGTTAGATTAGGGAATAGGAGGGGGTCTCCTTTGCAAATTTGTCAGCTGAATCGGTATGGAGGCATCTGGGCCGTCGGATCTAACTTGGACGCACCAGATTAGATCGAGTGAGGGGAAATAGAGGTGGTCGGCCGGCGGTGAGTCCAGGCAGCGGCGCCATTGATGGGACCTCACCGGAATTGTGCGAATCGGTGACTCCGGCCACCGTTTGGCTCGGGAAAAGGTCAGGGAGCAAGAGGAGAATGTGGCGAATCCATCTAGGGGATCTGAAGGGGCTACGACAGTGCGGGGACTAGCTCGGCTCAGTTGAGTAGGCTCGGGTTCACAGGCAGTACTTTAGTGACATGGCACAAGCGACACAAAGCATAGGAGAAGGAAAAGTGGGTACCGGGGCTTGCTTACCTCGTGTAGAAGCTCGGCGAGCAGTCCCGGACGACGGCGGAGCGGCGGAACGACGAGGCAACTTCGGCGGCTCGAATTGCTAGGGTTCCCTGGTGGCTGCAGCTCTAGCGAGGGCAGGGCTAGTGTTGGATGAGATAGGAGAGCAACGGGGCACGGGGTTGCTATTTAAGGGCGGGGCGGCTTGCAGCGCATGCAAGTCGGGCGGAGCGGGGCAGAGGCAGACACCCTGTCGATGGAGCAAAGTTTGGCTCAAAGCCGACTCTAGGTAGGAGACGACCGACGTGTGGGCTCAGGATGGCAACGGCTCAGTTGGCGGGCCCACGGTGGAGTGCGAGACCAAGCTGGCCTACGATGGCACGCTGGCTGTGGCCTAGCTTGCTAGGCCAACCTAAGAGTGGCAGCTCGGGAGAGCTGGGCCTACGGGGGAAGAGAGAGAGATGGGCTGCGGGGATGGGGAAGCTGGGTTGTGGAAAAGGCAAGGCCGAGCAAGCTGAAAGAGAGGGAGAGTAAGGGAGGGAAAGAATTTTTTTTTCTTTTCTAAATTTCCAAAGCAATTTTCAAATCCAAATTCAAATCAATTTGAAGTTTGATTTCAAACCACACAATACAAAAATAATATGCAGCAGCATGAATGCTTAAACATGTAGGTAAACCCTATAATTGATTTTAAGTTAACAAAAGTTATTACTTTTCTAAATTTAAATGCTCACAAATATACATAATTAAATCATATTCCCCTA